CAGGAAACCCAACTATTGGACTAGATAGACTTACCCAGACTGTATGGCTATCCTGCCCTTGGACGTTATTCTTCTAAATTAGAGTCAGTGCCCACTTCAGTGCTTGCCATTTGTCATGAGAATTGGTCTCTTGCTGCACCATTATTCTGTGGACATGATTTATTACCTTTCATGTGTCTAGGAAACATGCTATTCATGAGAAGTTACTCGCTGGTGTAGGGCTTAATTTTTCAAACGTTTAGATACCCTAAAAAAGCTTAGCTACCCTTTCATTTGCTGGGGGGAAAACTAAGAGGTGTGTGTTTAATGAGCTGCAGCAACTAGATGTAGATTAGGTAGATTTTCAGTATAACTTTTAATAGTTGACAGCTGGTTTCAAAATATGTAAAGGATATTTATTAGTATTTTTTTGCCTGATTAGTGTTTAACAGATGTAGCCAGATTGTTTTGAGCTTATCTGCTGTTTGTTTTTTTTTTTTTTCTTTTTATAAGCTCGTGATGTTTTACCACATCTCCTTAGAACTGTGTTGCATTGCAACCATTGCAAACTTCTCCCAAAGCCCCCAGGTTCTCTATAAAACTTTGGCTTTGTTTCGGCCTTTTAAAAAGGTTATTTTTTAATCTACCTACATATTTTCAGCCATCTCCAGTTTTACTATGATGTTGGAAGCAGTGCAATAATCTAATGAGATGATCTGTTTGAGCAGCTGGTTTTAACCTCTGTGACATTTCTTGTTTGGGATATAAGCCTCTGCTGTCACTTTAGTGCAGGCTGGAGATGTTTTTATTTTTTTATTTTTTGTTTTCTCTTCACCCCATCTTTGTGTGTGTTCCTTCCTTCGGGTCAGAGCTAGCAAGGAGGGATCATAACTGAACTGCCGTATCATAGATTCTTTGTTTTAAATGTGATTTTTTTTTCTCTTGTTTTTTGACATCTCTCTTTCACAATTGGGAGAGTGTGGGGGGTTGAAGCCAAAGAGGAATAAACTCGCATTTTCCTCTTGAGAATAGAGGTGTCTTTGGCATCATCAGTTCAAGGTCACTTGCAGTGCTGGTTCTCTAGCATTTATGTTCCTTTTCTCTGGCACTCCTGAGATACTTGATAGCTTGGAGATATTTTAAAGGCGTCCTAGACATTCATTTCAGTTCAGCTCGTAATGGAATGGAGGTAGTTGCCTACACACTTCAGATCACAGTGCTTGTTTTTTGTTACCTGGAAGAAATAAGCAGAAATCCACAGGAGACCCATTATCATCAGAAACTTTATTCAAGTTATGTCCAGACTGTGATGGAGTGTCGTGACTCACCAGTTCGTTTTGCCAATGACACCACGGGGTGACTGAGCATAGCTCTGCAATCTACAGAGGTCCTGCAAGATTCACGGGTGTTTGTTGCTCATACAACACTTCAAGTTCTTCAGATGTAATTTGGGGAGCATTGAAGATGAAGCGACATGTGTTGCAGTATGTAATGCAAAATCTCATTATAAGCAATAGCTCCTCACAAAGAAAAAGTGAGTTTAATAGGCTATTGCATTTGTTCCAATAACTGTACTTTTTCGTGATGTCTAAGGATGGATATGCTGTGATCTGTAACATGGACTCAGTCAATTTAGGATTTTTCTCTTATTTTTTCAGTAAGTATTGAAAGGCTTGAGACTGTCAATGGAACTGAATGCTCTCTTCAGGCTGCTCAAGCAAGATGCAGACATTGGGCACTAAATCAATGTTCTGAACAAAAATTGCCTTCTGTTGTAATTCAAAGCAAAAGAAATAAAAGGTTTTTGCCAGTATTTGAGCATATTACCATCCTGAAGACAAAACAATCAGATCTATTGGAGCCATTTTTTCTTTTTGTGTGTTTGCCAGCAGTTCAAAAGGGGAGAGAGAGGAGGAGGAAATTAGAAGAAAAAAAGCAAAGCTGACCTTCATAACTTTGACAGATGTTTAAAACTTCTCACTGTGGGCCAAATGATGTTTCCTTCTTCTCTGTCCTTCATCCCACCCATAATTTTGCAGTTGCTTATGGATGCACAGTACGATGTAAGTAGTGTTATAAGTCGACCAGCTGTATCTGAGTAGGAGGCAGTTTTTACTATATCTTCCTTGTATGTACCTCAGACAACACTAGCAAGGAATATTTGCTGCACGTAGCAAGAATTCTCCACAGTGCATTATTTTACATATCTCACAGTGGACGGTGTGCGCGTAGGTATTAGGGGGTGAAATCTGTTCCATATAGCTGGAATACACAGTCCGTGTGGCTCAGTCCGGAGGAGGAAGAGATGGTTTGTGCCCCTTGAGTTGTAGTCAGGCAAGGCTGCTTGTGTAAACTAATATAAATTCAGAGATTTCCTCTTTGGTTTTTTGAAGTCTCCTTTTTTGTTTTACACAGCACTTACCATTAGAGTCTGTTGTATGTGAGGAAGATTAAATAATCAGAGTTATACGAGTAATAACACTAGTAAATAACAATGGGGCAGCGTTAATGCTTTTGGCTCTCAATCATTAAATAATTAAGAAGGTTCAAGATTTCAAAAGACTCCCATTTGCCCACAAACAAACACAGAGCCCAGTTGCGCACTTTTACTGTGCTCGCATTGTTTCACGACTGTGCGTGCTGTGCCTGTAATAGCACACTGATGGTGGCAACTTAAGTTCGAAGTATGCAACTGTGGATGACTTTCTGTGGCTAGGTTTCCTTATTGAAATATTTGCTGCAGGTTGTCTAAATATAACAATCAAATGACTCTACCTTTTTCTTTTTGTCCCTAAGAGGACAGCATTCAGCTGCTACTCTTGATTTAGTAAAAATGTTGGCTGTTTTGATTATTTGTCATCAAGCATGTTTGTAGGCTTGAAATAATTAATTACTTAAAGGCATTTGGCTGAAAACTCTCATTCTTTAAATGCAGTAGCAGAATTGCAGAGCTTTTATTGCCAACATCCTATACTTTCAAGATAGAGCTGTATATTTTACTGCATTGTATGCTTGATTATCGAAATAAAATTATATGGGGTATCATAAAACTTATGCCATACTATCCTGGACCACTGTGAAAATACCAGTGACTTTAAAATATTTTTTTTGATCAGGAGAAGAGACATGGCATGAAATGCTGACTCATCAGCTTTCACAAGCCAAGTTTTCTTCTAAAGTCATTGCTTGGTATTCAAACTCTCCCTTGAAGGTGATGAACAGTCCAAGTATTAAAGCTTTTGGTGTCTTTTGTAAAACCAGTTATGGGCCTCTAAATGATACAGAACCACCAGGTTGGCTATAATTATTTGGTGGCCTTGGTAGACATAACAAAATATTTTTTTATTGTAAAGGTAAAAAACCTTGTCTTACAGAAGTGGCAAGGACTTAACATATTCTTGAGAGGGTAATTTTAATGCTGCTACTAGTCTGCAGTGAGTAGAGGAAGGATTTTAATTTCTAGACTATCCTATCTCATACAGCAAATTCACTTAAGAATTATACTTTCTTCCCATATGCCCCTTCCAAAAAATAAGGAAGGGATTGGAGACCAATGGATGCCCGGTATCCCAAAGCCCATGGCTTTGATGTGGTTCCACTGTTCTGTTGCACCAGGGCTCCTGCGGCAGCAGGGTTTCCCCACCGCTTTCCCCCCCCCTACATACGTACAGCAGTGAAAGGGGACCTGGGAGAACTAGACGCAGTAGTTTGACACAGTGTCATGTCTGACATGGGACAAACTGCTTTCCCTCTTGATGCCATAATTCGTCCTCTGTGGAAGAGGACTGACTCTCATCCTGTGTTGTACTGTAAGGACACATTCATTAATGTTTCTAAAGCATTCAGAACTGTGGCAGTGGGGGCTGTGCAAGTCTAAAGTGACTACTTTTCTGTTCTCTAGTGACTGACTAATTTTTGTAGTAGACACACTGTGATTCAGAAGTGAAAGCAAGTCATTAACAAATCCTTTAAATGAGATGTATGATTTAATAATTTTGTTGCTAATAGTTGGAGTAATTCTGCTGTGCCTTCATGAAGATTTTTTTTTTCTTTACTCGGTTCACTTTCATAGCCTGGGAGAAAGATTTAATTTTAGAAGTTTCAGTTGACAAAGACATGCTGGTGCTAGATACGTATTTCAGATCCTTGTCATTGTACTCTATTTTTAAATTCAAGTGCCAGCCAACCTAAAGAGCACACCCTGTGTCTGCATCCGTGCTACAAAGCTGAATTCTTCCAAGCCTTAGCACAAGGCCACCGAATTTACTTTTGTATTTTTCCTGTTTAATGAAGAGAAATGCTCTAGCAAGTTCTTTTCATTATCACAGAACTAAAACTGGTCATAAAAACAATCCTCCCTCCAGAGGGGTCTGCTCAGGCATTGGCAATTGTTAAGATGTTTGCTTATCAACAGCCACTCGAGAGAGAATTTTAAATGGTTTTGTGACGTCAAGGAGGCCCAAGAAAATAAAGCCTGGTGCCAAATTACCTCCATTATTGAAAGCATGCAGTAAGAAATAGATAACACAGAAATAAATCTTTTGTGCAGTAGCTATCTCATGATATGCTCTAGCGACTCCAGTAAGTGAGGTTGTCTGGTATAGGAATAGCTAAAGAAGATGAACTTTCAGACCCTTACTTTCTAATTTATGATTAATGAAAAGCCAGCCTAATCTATCTGACATCCTGGTGTCTGGACAGAATGTCTGCGGGTAGCGTGGACCTTGCAGAGGGAAATGCCCTGACAAAGTTACAGCCTACAAAAGTGAACAATTTAAGTATGATGGACAAAAAACTGAATCTCTTGAATGAAAAGATGGACAAACTGTTGCATTTCCAAGAAGATCTGACAGGCAAACTGCAGCGAGTTAACAAAGGCATTGATGATGTAGAAAAAGGCATTACCAAGCTAACAGCATCCCGAGCAGCTCCTGATGAGACAGATGCAATGAAAAAAGGCCTAAAGGTATCGGACAGTACTCACCAGACTGATATCCAGAGCATATGCTCAGAAGTGCTGAAATTGATGAAAGCTGCCCAGCTAGATGCCTCGAAGCATAAGGAGAGGCTGGCAAAGATAGAAAAAAGGGTTGATACACTGGATAAAGTTATTACATTTGTGGGAGAAGTATTAAAAAATTCTAAAGTAGTGGATTTTATTCTCAAAGGCATTGTGCCCTGGAAGAAGGGGAGTCTGCTGGAAATCCTTGTTGAGGTTGGTTTTGTTTTACTTTTCTTCATGTTTTTCTTTATGATGTAGCAGGGCTTTAGGCTCTTCTGCCAATTTCTTGCATAATGTATAATTCGGGTTTTCCTTTCAGTATTGCTGTTACAGGTTACTGCTGTGACCTTTGAATTCAAATACTTGTGAATTGCAGGCCTCTTAAGGCGGAGACCAAGGCTCAAAATATGCCTTGCAGTCTTGTCTGAGGTTGCCGAAGCGTGCAAGGCAATCTTGTAACAAATATGAGGAGTAGATTGCTACTGTAAAGGAAAATTCAGCTTCTATCAGTGCTCGAAGATCAGCAATGTCATTCAAATTAGCGACTGAATTGAGGCCCTAGTGAAAAGTATGAGTAACATACTGGAAGCATTGTTTTTGGAAGAAGCTTCCATTTTCCTGTTCTGAACACAATGCCAGCTACTAAAACCTGTGCTGACTTATGGTCATATTACTGAGCAGATTTATGTGTCCTGAGACATCTAAGTTGTCTTCAGCTACATCTTTATGATGAAACTGTGACTTTTATCAACTCCATTGACATTGTTCACTCCTCAAATCAAATAGTTCTTGTGTTTGCAAGTTCCTAGAGATCAATTCCTAAGCATTTCTTAATTATTGAGGACCGTGAGGGAGAAACAGGCAAGGCAGGTACGCAGTTGATATGGAGTTTTGGAATCTATTAACATTGTTTTTAAAAGCTACAGGCATCTGGAATTAGTTTTAGCTAATGGGAGTTCTCAGTTTTCACTATGGCTTGTATCCCGTGGTGGGGAAGAAGGGGGGAAAACTGCAAGAGTTGGAATAGGTTTGTTCATTCCAAGAATCTCCTCGTACGTAGAGGCGTGATTACAGTAAGGAGAACTTAGCTCAAATGCAAATGTCCATTTGTATCTTAATCCAAATATTTTTCACCAAAATTGTAAAATGTTTTGGTGGAAGGTACACCTAAACTTTTGCAAGAACAGGGCAATGCTAGATGCTAGCATACTTTTTCAGGCTTTCCAAGTGCTCTCCTGGTCTCCCTTTTCAAGTGTCAGAGGCTGCAAGTGAGCTAGACTGCTAGGAGACAGAAGAATTTATAAAGAGTTTCCATTAGTGTTGACAACGATAAATCATACAATAGGAATCATTCTTAATTCTGGATAGAGATGAAGCTTGTACTTGCTTGCAGTTCCAATATCAGTTCTACAGTTTTTTGGAGAAATGGAAAAGTTTGATATGTTTTGGTTAAAGCTGCATTGTTACAGGTTACTGCCTGCAGTCACTGCAAAATGCCTGGAGACAGATACAGTCCTGTGCAGGATTTACACCTTGAACTGAACTGACAGTGCACAGTATGTCAGTCGCCAGGTGAAGATGAGTATAAAGATGATAAATTAATTTTGTTTCCAGATTGTCAGTTTCTAAGTGAAAAGAGCAGTAAGGAGGGATGTAAATAAATAAAGGGAGGTGATGCGAGGGATGCTGGAGGAATGTTTCACGTGGACTCAGCATACTGTCAGGACTAGTTGTCAACTACCCACTATGCACTGCCTCCTCATTGGCATTTGCAAAAGAGGAGATTGAAGCAGGTCAGAACTTCAGGTTTTATGGATAGGCGGATAGAGACTGAGAGGTGAAATGACCTGCTGTTGGTGGCCTGATGGACTAGGATGGGGCGGAGGTCTCTGTCCCAGGCTCTAACCGCTGCCTTGATTGTAGAACAGGCCATGTGTATTGGGTAAGCAGAGAGTTTTATGACTAACTCCAGTTTTGCAATATGACCGTGATTGTTCTCCTTTTTTCTTTCTGGTCATGAACAGTTTTTGAAATTGGAGCATAAGGTCAGTTATAAGACCTTAAGATATGCCTATACTTTGATCACCGGCTGCTGAGTGATATTTGACCTAGGCTTGAATTAGTGAGGTAGCATATGTACGTGACCTAGCTGGGGTAACAGGGAGCAAAGCATGGGTGAATTCAAAAAGAAATTGGCTTGCGCTGAGCCAGTGCTAACTTCGGTCTAGTTCTTGCAGCCTGTTTTGTGATATAGTGGTAGAGACCTGTCCAAAGAGCTCCACAGTTGCACTGGGGTTGCACACAAGAAGAATTTGCTACCTGCTTGTTTCTGTTTTCCAACCTTCGCTGTTTTGTAACAGTGTGCTGCTTATCATGGAACTGGCTCAGTGCAAGGTTACTCAGTATGGGGATGGGAGTGGGGAGGTCGTGTTTTCATTTCTGAGTGAAGCTGTTTGTTGATGGTGTGACAGCATTCCGGGGATGTCATGGGAATGCTTATGGAAGAAGTTGCGTGGGGTTGGAGTCAAATTAATAAAAGACTATGAACTGAGCTTCATAGGATCCAAACCTCTAACTTCTTATTTATAAAAACAAACAGATGGAAAAACCCACCAGCATTAAACTGTCACTTATCCAAGGCTTTCTTTGCATGTAGGATTTTGCAAGAATAATGTTCCCCCTGGTCATTGTTGCAGGTTTGCTTAGAGCTGTAATAAAAATGGTAATGATTTTTTATTACTTGTACTCTTTGGGTGTTTTGGTGTTTGGAAGGCTGGGGAGGAGGGGGAGCTCTCTTTTGGAATCTATATGGTTGGAGCATGAAAAACTTAATCCTTAACCGCTTTTACTAACAGATGAAGGGGGTGATTTGCAGCAGTTTTGTAATCAGAGTTATCTGCAGAAATATTTTAAATGTTGCTTATTTGCTTGTACAAATAAGGATAAGAGGCTGCTCATCACTAGATTTTAACTATATGCCAACCAAGAAATACGTTATACCTTTTCCTGTTTTTGTGTAATGCTTTTTGCTAAATCTTAGTTATTTAGTTTTAATTTGATTACAAATGTATTGCTGTGTAAAGTGTTTAGTGGTGCTATTACAAAATATCCCTCCTCTGTGCTTTCTTAATTGATGAAAGAAATTTGCTTAAAAATAAAAATCTGCTGCAAAAAGACATTGAGTCTGTTTTTAACCATGCCAAAGGTGACATGTGTAATGTAAAGTACATGCACAAGAGTTACTGTAAAGCTAGAGGCTATTTTTTGGTATCACCTCTATCATAGCTCAAATCATGAATCTTTAGATGCCTTGAGACAAATATGTTAACAATATCTTCAGAGACTTTGCTTATCTTTCAGTCACCAGCCAAAAAGCAGCAGAAATACATTATCATTGCTTTTTCTAATCTTTCTCTCATGTTAAAAACCGTCATGGTTTTTAAGCAATATGAGTGAAGATGACAGGAGGCAAAATCTCTGACAGTCAAAATTTTGGAGAGCAGTGAGTATTATTCTGTCATCTTGTTTGCAAAAGCAGGGAGAGACTGGAAGAAGGGAGTAAACGCAGTAGTAACTAAAAAATAAGAAGATCAGAGGTGTTAGTGTCCATTTTACAGAGCCTGAATGCTTACTTAGTTGGAGGAACCTAGTGGGAAATAAACACCCTTGGCCGTAACTGTTATTTTTGTGTTCCCCTGTCATTTTTAGGCCAAAGATAAGCCTGAGGAGAGTGGTGCAAAACCTAAGCATGTGCTTAGTAACAGAGGAACCCAAACTGAAAGCAAGAAGCCTCTGGAAGGTATGTATCACTCCAGGCATGCCACAAGCTTTGACTCTAGAATGTGCAGCAGACAAACTGGAAATTAATAGCCTGCTATTTCCCACTACCTGAATTACTCAAACATAACTGGGTAACTTTGTCCGCCAGTACTGGGAGAATAGAGATGTTCTCACCTCCTCCACAAGAACATCTGTCCCTCAGATCAAACCCCACAAAACTGTAGAAGATAAAGAAAATTAAACAGCACCTTTGTTTGGCTGCACAGATTTTTTTTGCTTTGAAATTGCAGTGAGCTGAATTGAGAGCAGTACTTGTTTGGAGATACCACGAAGGTAGTGGCAATATCACATAGCAAACCTAAAAAATTCTTTTGCCTTAATGCATCTGAACCAGCCCTCCCTCCTCCCCCTCTCTGAAACAGGGACATGTTGACATTGGAAATATGTTTTTTTTGATCAGCAAGTTTCATTGCCATGTCAGGGCTAGATTCCATTTAGGATGCATCTGTCAGGGCATTGCCCTGCTACATCCATTATTAATGCCTGTGGAGTTGCAACAGGGGTGAACGTGATGTTGAGCAGGCCCTGTCATGTTGTCTTCACAAATTGCCAGTGAATCCTTTAAATTATGGATGAATCCCTTTTTAGCTTCATCATTTAGGAAGTGACAAAAATAAAGTAAATGGTTGGTCACAATTCTGCCTCAAAAGCAGCACTGGGTTGTGATGTAATCTCGGTGGCTGGTGACCTGTGTATGCTGAACCCTGAAAGAAGTTACCCTAGAAATTTCCGTTGTTAATATTCACAACCGTTGTAATGAGAAGGGGCTGAAAAACCTTCTTGTCCTTTTGTGGAAAATGAAAGATGCACTGTCTCAAGCCCTGGCATCCCCTGGAGTCTTGCTCCGTGCATTTCTGCAGCTCTAATCAGGTAGAGAGTGTATTGGGTTTAGGAGGGTTCTGGATGGGTCTGCAGTGCCTGAACGACCTGTTACGTTTGCCTTCGGAGTGATTTCAGATTTGAAAAGCAGTGAGCTGAGCCTTGCAGGTTTTTTGTTTGCTTTATGGAAATCTAAGTTCAATCTGTAACACTGCTGGAGAGCCAGCAGAGCAGTTGAACCTCTGATTAAGCCATGAGCATTAATAATGGCTGTCTCAAGCCTGCTGGTGTAGGGATTTTAAACCTTTCAGGGCATTTCTTGCTACTTTTCAGATGAGCGTAACTGTGTAGGTTATTTTGAATGGTGGGTTACTTTACTCCCTCTCTGTTTTGCTGTCACTTTTGTCAAGGATAGTTTGTTAATGGCTTATCTTATTCAGAGACAAAAAGCGGGAAAAAGCTGGATGAAAACAAGGGAGCATGTGAGAAGGTGAACGCTTCTAGTGCTGTAGCCCACAAAGCTGACTCCAAACCCCAAGTTAAAGAGACAGTGGCGCAGCAGCAAACAGTGGAAGGTGCTGGCAAAACACACAGCTCTAAGAGCTGTCAACAGCAAAAGGACATTGGTGTCAAAGCTTTGAATCAACACAACGGTCTTCCCTTCATAAATCAAGATCATGTAGGCAACCAAAATGTTCCTGCTAAAGCACTCGATATGGACAGAGCCCCACACCTAGATGAGTGCCACAGGCAGCTTGTTCATCAGAAACTCAGAGAGAATGAAAACAAACCTCCATCGTCGAGTGTGGCATCCCGGGAAGCTGTGCCCTCCGCAGCCCAGGCTATATCTGACACAGAGTGTGAAGTGACACATACCAGGTAATGGCCTTGTTGGTAGCTTTCTGTGTGATCTGAAACCATTTCATGTGTTAGAAGGAAAAAATGGAAAGCCAGGTCATTAAAGGAAGCAGCTCCTGCTAAGGCATGATCCAGGGAAAAAACAGCCATGCTAGGATAGGAATGGTGAGACCTTACAAATGGTTAAGGCAAAAAACTCAAAGTGGCAAGGGCCCTGTGTAAATTTATATGAAGCCAAGGAGTCAGAGGGCTAGATGTGTGGGAGATTTTTTTACATGGTTGGGGCTTCTGTCTGTTAGAGATCGAAAGGTGACAGCCCTCGTATAGCTCAAATAGTTGGACATTTATAAACCACTCGCTCCTTTCCAACTCCTCTGTTTCTATAACTGTGGGGGTGAAAGGAATTTGCGATATTTACTAGTATATGACAGAACCAAACAACTTGTTTCATTTGCTGTCCTCAGTGTTTTTGTGGGGTTTTTTTTATGCCTGATCACCTAAAGATACGACCAGATTGTTCATTTTTTAATCTCTATTAGCCTAATCTTTTCCTCCTATAGGTGTTTTGTAATGTCTTTAAGAATCCATTTCCTTTAGAATTATTTATTTAGGATTTTATTTTAAATCCATTTATTTAAATTTAAAAAAACACACACAACAAAAAACAACAAAAACCCACAACCAAAAACCCCCTACCAACCAAACTTCAACAGGTGGAAATTCTGTGGCAAATTTTAACTGCCGTGCCTTCTCTGTCTGGGCTGGTGGATATAAAGTTGTTTGTGTATGTGCGTACGTATGGGTGATAGACACACACATACGTATATATATGTATGTTACTTTGTGTGTGGAATTTCCCCATTGCTTATGTGTACACATTGGTGTCTGAAGCCCAGACAAGAGCATGATGCTACTTTTGTGTATGCGTACTTTAATTTGAAAACTTTGAATTTGTAGCGGTACTTGTGTATATATGGTGGATGCTTAAATCTTCCTGTGCAATGGGTACGTGTCTACTGAGATTACAGGACTCTTTTAAAAAAAAAAAAAAAAAAAAAAAAAAAATGAATAAAAAAAAATTTACCAAAAAAAATGAAAATTTTCC